CTTTTTAGCTCGAGCTCGGCTCGAACTCGAATTTTGATAATCCAGCTCGAGCTCAAGCTCGGCTTGAATAAAAATAATCTAGCTCGAGCTCGACTCGGTAGAGCTCGATAAATGCTCATTAACATAGCTTGTCAAGCTGAGTACAAGCTCGGCTCAAGATGAGCTCGATTTAAAAATCATTCTTGCTGAAAAAATGTGTAAACATAAGAATTTAAATGATAGAAAGAACACTAGAAACTATAAATAACATCTAAATTTCATACACATTTGTTAAAACAAGACAATGTTCATGTTTAAAAGAGTAATTCATCCTTTCACAAGCTCTAAACAAGGCAGCTCGCGAGCTTAGCGCAACAAGCCACTGAATCAAGCTAGCTCACGAGCTTATCAAGCTGAGCATGGTCTAGCTCAAGCTTGGCTTGTTAACTAACGAGTTGGCTCGCGAGCTAGCTTGTTAAATAACGAGTCGAGTGTCGAACGAGTTTTTTCCGATTCGACCGCCAAGTTGCTCGCGAGCGGCTTGGCTCATTTGCAGCCCTAGCCGTACGCGACGAGGAGATCGGGTCGTAGATCCAAGCGATCATTAATCACTAGCAGGTGATCACAGCTAGGATTGATACCTAGGATGCCCTGAACCGCGAGCATGAAGCAGCTCTAGAGCATCTACGCGTCGACTAAGGACAACTTCAATGCGGCCAGGAGAAGCTTCAAGACGGCCAGGATCGTTTGAGGGAAGAGATCAACGCCATCCGCGTTGAACAGAATCAACTAACTAGCGATGTTAGCTCGATCCTTGCAATTCTCCAGGATCCATCATGGGGGAAGAAGGCGACCGAGTCACCAAGGGAGCTCGATCGTGGTGCCGGGAAGGGAGGTCGCACCACCGGCCAGATTCCGTCGACGGAGAAACTGAAGGGAGCCGCCGACGGAGAGGCTCTCTCTCATGTATGCCAGAGCTCGACGCCGACGCCTAGAACGAAGCTGGGAGTAACAGACGGGCACCGAGAGCGAGAGACACGATAGAGGAGGCGACCAGGGAATTCCCGTAGGGCCGGGTTGGGGAATCCTTGCCACCTACGGCGATGACGAGCAGGCTGGCGCTCAAGGGGGGAGGCCGCAGACAGGGCCTACGTTGGAGCCCAGTGGTCGTGAAAACACTAGCCTGATTCGTGGGCTTGGGCCGAAAAATGGGCAGATTGACTGGGGCGCTCTCTACGGAGTTGGGCCAGGAGCGAACAAGGGAGGCCGAGCTGGAGATTGTCAAATTGGGTCGAGGATGTTAGCTGGCGAAACGAGCATCGTGGAGCAATGGGCTAGAGGAACTAGCGGATCCAGTGGCCTGGCGATCTCCAACGCGAACGGCCCAGACTTCCACATCGGTGGGCCGAGACACAATGGGCCATGCAGCGGGCCAGGGGTGCAGGGATTTGGGCTGGGCAGCTTGTGGGCCACAGTAGGAATACGAAGAGGAGGGTGGGCCAAGCCACGACCACTGTTTGGGCCAGTACAGGAGGGCGGGGGCAGAATAGCTATGGGCCGCATTGCACCTAGCGGACCGGGTGCACCTTACCCGGGCGCACCAACTAAGTTCATGCAACCCATGGGCTATGCGGGTAATTATGAGAAGTTGGGCCAAGCATGTTTCGAGCCTGCATTGTGCCAGTCGAATTTCCAAAGTTCACTGGAAAAGAGGATCCATATGGATGGGTCTCGCGTGTTCTGAAGTACTTCCGTTACCAGTGCATTCTAGAAGAACAGAAAGTGGTGCTGGCTACTTATCATATGGATGGTGATGCAAACCAGTGGATCATGTGGCTGGAGGAGGAGTTTGCGAAGCATGGGGTGATGATGACTTGGAGCAGTCTGTGTGCCGAGTTATGTAAGAGGTATGGGTCATCGAGAAGTCGTCTAGACATGAGGCGTTGGCCAAAATTCCCCAAACTGGATCCGTTGACGAATATCAACATACCTTCGAGAAGTTGCTGAATTATTGTTGCGGTTGGACCGAGGTTACGAGATATCCGCCTACATTCGAGCTTTCAATCACCAAACAACCGGAGATGCGTATCAACTGGCCCAGATACGTGAAGAGGAGTTGCGACTAGAGGGCAATTTGGGGACAACGAGGAGTGTATCGCGAACTGCCTCAACCATCACCGAAATGGCTGTGGCGCCGCCATTTCGTGTGGCCTTGAAAGTAGGGACGTAGTTTTTGTGACGCACGAAATTTCCTTTGAGCGGGAGCTTTGTGAGCACGATTATCGTGTGGCCTTGAAAGTAGGGACGTAGTTTTGTGACGTGCTCACCAGGGCTGGAGAGGCCTTCTCGATCGATGAATATCTTATTCTCGCACTCAGAAGCATTCGAGACGCGTAGTATATTGGTCTCCTTGTTTGGTCTTATTTTCTGGAGACTAACACTGCACTCACAAATTTTGCCGACACAGCTAAGTACAAAAACAACATTTCATTAAGTTTCGGAGCGGTCAATACAAGAGGTGATACAAGATAAAGTTTGAGGTCATTGAACGCAGCTTCACATTCTTGCGTCCACGCTAACCGAGCACCATTCTTCAGGGTTAGGAAGAAAGGCGTGCGCTTGTCAGCTAACCTTGGTATGAATCTCTCGAGCACGACCAACTTCTCGTTCAGGGATTGTATCACAGTAGTGTTTGTGGGTGTGTGTAGCTGCTGAACCGCGGTAATTTGCTTTGGATCTACCTCAATTTCGCGTCTTGTTATCATGAAACCCAGGAATTTCCCTGACTCGGCGCCAAACACACACATTAATGGATTCGGGTGGAGGTTGTATTCCAGAAGAGCGTCGAATGTTTCTCAGAGATCGTCAAGATGGGAGCACCCTACCTTTGTTTTAACTATAAGGTCGTCGACATATGACTCAATGTTGCGCCCGGTCTGTCGAGTGAACGCTGAGTCGATCATCCTTTGGTAGGTGGCACCCGCATTTTTTAGCCCAAAAGTCATTCCTATGAAGCAGAAGTTTCCAAATGGAGTCATAAAAGCGGTATTCTCTTCGTCCTCGCGACTCATTGGGATCTGGTGATAGCCTGAAAACATATCCAAGAAGGATAATATTTTGTAATTGGATGCTGCGTCGATAAGTTGGTCGATGTGCGGGAGGGGTATGGGTCTCCTGGAAACACTTTGTTGAGTGGTCTAATCAACGCACATCCTCCATGGTCCAAACACTTTTTTACTAAAACCACATTGGCTAGCCATTTTAGGTATTTGACCTCGCGAATGAGTCCTACTAAGAGGGCGCAACAGATTTCTTCTTTGATGGGTTTCAGTTTTTTGCCGGTAAAGGTGCGATGAGCTTGTTGGCATGGCTCCGCACTTATGGGAACCGCGAGATAGTGTTGTGCCACTTCCCTTGGAACCCCTGGCATGTCTTCGCGCGAATAGCTCTACCATTTTGTTCAGAATATGCGTCAAGATGTGCACCCTCTTATCTGGTTCTGTAGGGTCTAGCGACACTTTGAAATCGGAATCCATAGACTCAATATGGGGGTTCCTCTGCTCTTCTATCGATAATGTTTGTTTTTCGCGTGAATTGTACGTCCTTGACGAGCTTTTAAACTTGCCCGCGCGACTCTCCAGTACCATATTTGGTTGGGAACTTAAGCTTTTGGTGGCAGGTGGATGGCAACACCATGAACTTTTCCAGGAATGGACTGCCCAAAATGTCGTTGTGCGAAAAATCACAATCCAAGATCGTGAATTCAACCTGCTTGGAGACGAGAGGTTCTTGATCTCCGATCACCACTAGGAGCGTTATAGCCCCTATAACCGCCACTCTCGCCCTAGAGAATCCTACTAGGTTTCCTTGCGCATGTTTGATTATGTGCCGGTCGGTATGCATCTTATCTAGGGTTCGCTTGAATAGGATGTCGATGCATCTTACAGGCGGCGAGAGCTATGATAGTGAATGGGTCTTATGATGGAATTCCTTGGGGAAATTCTGATTCATCAAACCCTGTGTTTCCTTTTGTCTGAGTGCTTGTCGTCACACATTCCATGGCGCGCTCTCGCTTTTTCTTTGGTCTATCACCTTCTATTGTCACAACCCCTATTTCTTTGCGCACTATGTACGCGCCAGTGACCTCGTTGTACTCCGGCAGTGAGGGGTGGTGGCTTTGTGACTTATTCCTTTGGTTCTTCATTCCCACGGATGCCCTCCTGATCAGTTCCTCGATTTCCATCTTGAGGTTGAAGCAAACCTCTGTCATATGGCCCGTTTCCTTGTGAAAGTTGTAACATCCCAAACCTCGGTCAATTTATAAACAATTTGGTTTATTGATGAATCAAGAATTTTAACAATGCTCGAAGAATTAGTTACGACCTTATCACTACAGGAAAATGCACCTTCCATCACGGGATTTCCGTGACAAAACAGCCATTTCCCGTTACCGAAGGATTTAGTCACGGTATATTCCCGTGACAAGCATGCCCGTAATTAAAAATCAATGATTACGGGAATTCCTGTGACGTAAAATATACAATAACAGGAATAATCCCATGACAAAAAAATCTGAATTGTCACGGTAATTCTCGTGACTAATTATTTAACACGGGAACATAACCGTGACGAAAAATTTAAACTTGTCACGGGATTTCCCATGACAAATAGGGTTATTTGGCACGGGATTTTGTCCAAAAGTCACGAGAATGCTCGGCCGGTGTCCATGCTAAAGTAACGGGTTTTGTCTCAACGATCACGGGAAAACCCGTGATGTTTGTTCTTACTAGTCACAGTAGAATCCCGTTACAGATAGTTGCTACTAGTTACGGGAAAATCCTCTGATGTATACTTTTCTCCGGTTACGGGAGAATCCTGTTATTGTTACTAAACATTTAGTCATGGTAAAGTTTCATAACTAGTCACAGAAAACTTTGTAATTGACAGTAGCTAAACGTAACCTGAAAGACCTACAATAGTTAACGAATGAATTTTCGCTTGTAACAATTAAGAAGACTAATCAATATATATATAATTTACTTGTCAACGTTAGTTTACAATTAAGAATGCATTCTGGAAGCATTTGGGGGACATGGAACCTATCTAATCCATCATATCACAAAATACCAATGCTTCAACAAAATTAGCTATAGTAGTTTCTAGGTTTCTTCAAAACAAAATTGACATTGCACTCGATAATGTGCAAGGTTGAACTACTCTTCTTGTGCTTCACCTTTCTTTCAGCCGACCACCTTATGTTGCACTTCTGAATTATAAAAGAGAAATTACAAAAAATTACCTTTGTTAAATAACAAACATGTATAGAAAAACTAACATTAGAAGTACTAAAACAAATCATTCTAGAGTCAATGAAAAGGTAGCAGCACTGTCCAAACAACAACAAAACATCTCAATAAAAAGCCATGAATTAATTGTTCTAAAATGCTTTCATAAGCTGTAGCATTCTCCAAAGAACAACCAAAACTACTCAATATACAGCTAGGAATGAAATGTCTGGAACTGCTTTTATAAGCATCAACACTCTCCAAAGAAGTACCAAATAACATAACAATAGACAGCCATGAATTTAGTATTCTGGAAATAATTTCATAGGCAACCACACTCTCCAAACAACACAATCACAGCAGCTGAACAAACATCTTGGAATTGAGTGTTCTGAATCTGATCTCATAGGCAAGCACACTCTCCAAACAACAAAAATACAGCACCTCAACACGCAGCCAGGAATTCAGTTTTCTTAAACTATTTCATACGCAACAACACTCCAAACAACAAAATCACAGCAGCTCAACAAACAGCAAGGAATTTAGTGTTCTAAAACTGATTTCATAAGCAACCACACTCTCCAAACAATAAAAAAAAAACTAGCAGCTAATTAAAGGATAAGAGTTCAATGTTCCAGCTCCAAACAACAACTCAATAATATAAGAATTTGGTGTTCTAATGTTGTCTAGGAAGCACAATTATACGTACCTAATGTTGTCGATTTTGACTACTTTCGAACAGCTCTTGCAACTTCTTCATTTCAGCTTTCATATTGGCCATCTCTTCAGCTTGTTCAGTAACAGTATCTTTCAACTCGGTAACAGTTTGTTGAAGAGCTTCCTTTTCTTCATCTGATCGTCTCAATTGAGCTTCCAAATCTGCATCATTTGCATTCTTTGTGGAAGTTGAGCTCTTCAAATCCTTAGGTCTCAATCCGCCTCCAAAACAAATCACATGACCACGCTTTTGTTCTCCTAATATTGCTTCTACCACTTCAAGTGCAGTAAAGTTTGGATTGGCTTCCATTATCTCAAGTATTTTAGCCTAACCAAGAACACACATCACAGTTAAAATAGGCAAGCAAACTAAGTTTTAAAGGCAAGAATTTTGAATAGAAATTACATGTCTTTCAATTGCCGCATCATCTTTTATCATGTCTCCTTCTTTATAGGTCTCAAACACAAGCTCAGCTACAGTTGGAGGTCTGCCCAACTTCTCTTCCTACAATGTAAGAATGATTAATATACAATAAGCTACTAAATATGGGTTGGGTTAATATACAACTGACTTCCCTAACACTAGAGCAACACATATATAATAACATATTAAAAGTTAGAAATAAAGATTTTGGCAGCATACTGTCTTTGTAGTCCTACTATAATTATGTTACTTTTGTTATTTAATCAATACAATAGACTACTTAACAGAGGTTGGGAGCTTCATAATCTTCAATTTTGAAACAACTAAAATGAGAAAGGCAAATAATATATACCAAATCCAACGCAATTTGTCGAACAGGTCTTCTTCCACTATGTTGATTCATTGTTTTCAACGCTCTATTCTCCTCATTGGTCTTGCTCATCTTCTATATAAAGTGAAAATTGAATATTAAATAAAATATCAAGTGAACCAATATGAGAAAGTAGTAAAGTATGATGATTTTACCTTAAGTTCTTTGCAAAGGAACTTCTCCTTCACTAGCCATTCCCAATCCTCTTTACTTACGAATTCCGGAACATCGTTGAGGATATCTTGCAAGTTGTTATGCTTCTTCACATGATCACAGTTCATTTTAGATCTTCAAGTTCTCCACAAGCCGCTCATATGATTGATAACATCTTTCTTGAAGGATTCCATTTGAGGATGTGTAAAGTATTCCTACATAATGTAACAATAGCAATACTTAGCTTCTAATTCTCCTAGACTTTATACTTAAGAGCACTATGAAATAACCTATAAATACTGAATACCTTAGCTGCTGCCCACATATGTTCTTTTTCTTCGTTGCCTATGTTAACCCATTTCTTAACTCTTACCGAACACATTTGTGGGTTTCTTATGATTGTGCCAAGATAGCTTGCCCAAACGCTACCATTACGACCAGCCCCTCTTCTATCCTTGAAGATTATTGGTAACTTCTCACCAGGCCTCAAACTAATAAGCTTCTTGCAAATTGTTCTCCCCCGCTTGTTTCTTTGTTCTCTCGCTTCTGAAACAGTGAAAAACCAAACAAAATACAGCCCCTAATCTAAACATAAAGCTTGTGGGTTTCAAAGCATGCAACCCCTAAATATAACAAAATGATGCCACCTACATATGTGTTGGTTAGTGTAAAGAAACTGCAAATGTAAGGCACTAGATGTAAAATTTGTGCCCAATAAGCTAACTAGCTACAACTGGGTTCAGCTTGTTTATTTAAGAGTCTTTGATCCGGTTCCATGACTAGTGCACTCAATTTAGACAAAAAAAAAACTCACCTCCTTCATCAGGTTGTTCATTTTCAATTGTATTGTCAGCCATAGGAACGTCTTCCATCGATGAGGGGACTACATTGTTGGTCCTAGATGTACCAATGCCTTCATGGTCACCTTCTGATCGTCGAGCTATAAAAAAAACAATTAGGGAACATGCTGCAGCAAAAAAAAATAGACAGTTTGATACCTAATATCACAATTTCTTATAAAGGACAGGCTGCACACAGTTAATTACCATCCTCATCATCACCACCACAATACTCGTTTAAATTTGATAATCACTCTAATTAGTAAAATAGTTTAATCAAAGCTTAATGAATAGATATATAAGGGAATTCCAATGTGTTGCTTATGGGAAGTACATGCTACAGACATGGATTGAGACGAATGAAAGGGTTGTTGGCTAGTTAATTAGGCATTCACTCTCTAACATCAGGATTTAATTAGAGCCACAGGCTGACTTATAATATTTCAATGAGTTGGCCACAACCCATCGCCTATACTATGATATTGTATTTGTTTTCTTTTCCTATGAATGGAACCTACGCATTAACAATAAATCTCATTAGAACTTGCAATTTTCAATTCTTTTACAAAGCTTTGAAAAAGAGAAAAGGCTATGAAATTTGTTATTGCCTTGAGTTAGTTTGCTGAACTTGACTTGTCACCCTTACCCGAAGTCCCTGTTTGGCCTCTGTTTCCAACCACCAATACCCAAAATCCCTACAGAAGGTAGAGGTTAATCAGAAGGAATCAGAACCAAATCAAAGGCTAAAGTTGAAATAGGCAAAGAGTTGGCGGGGGCAAAATGAAACTCAATAACCGAACTAACTAAAAGGAAGAACTGAGCTAATAGCGAAGTAGTATCCAACCATGGTTTTGCTTTTTTGATAAACGAAAAAAATGGGGAGGGTGGACGCGGGAGATGAATTCAGCTTACCTGGATCTAAGCAACCAAAGGTAATCAGCAATGGAGATTAGGGGCGTAGTGGTTCCCAGCTTCCTGAGCTCAAGCTGATTTCATCGTCCCAATCCCTTCCCCTCTTCTCCTATTGTAGTTGCAATGGTTGAAACCTAGGCAATCCTCCGAAAGTTTACAAGGGGAATGACAGCCGGCGTACTGGATCCTTCACCAGTCCCACAAGATGAGAGTGACGCTTTGCATTTCACTATCAATGAAGGAACGAGCAAGTAGAATAAAGATAGGGTGAGCGGTTTTCTGCGGATGGGGATTTTGGGAAAGGAGAAGAACCAGAAAAATCCCAGCTTCTCTAGCTATGTTATATTTTTTTTCTTTTAATTATTTTGGTACACTTTACTTTTCATTGGAGCCAAAAGCGGACTCCACCCCTTGGAGCCAAAAGCCCAAAACCCAAAAAATTGGAGCCAAAACAATTATACTTGCCGCCAACACAGATTCGTTTCCTTTGTCACGGGAAACTAATAAAAAAACATTACGGGTTAATATCCCATTGCTAAATAAAATTGTTTGTCCCAATTAATCATGGTATTTATTTCCCGTGACCGTAGTTAAACATTAAGTAACGGGGAAAAAACCGTAATTAAATTCCCGTTATGAAAGATCAATTTTCTTGTAGTGTTATCGACTTGACTTTTGAAATGACGAATATTCTGGAACTATAGATAAGGTATCTCGAACAAAATTCGAATCTATAATGTAGAAAATTCTGCCATGATCACGTAGGATTTTACGGAAGTAAATTTGGATTCCAAACGAGTGAGATATGTAATTTTAAAGTCTTCACTCCGTTATTAAAATACCGTACATACCAATGCTATTTTATACCCAACTTATTCGTTTGAGATCGAAACAACGAGACGATTGCGTCCACGTGATCGTATCGAGGAGGAGAAGATTTAAGGAGGGACAGATTCAGAATAGAATGTTCGGTGGAATCTGTCAATAATAAGATTCGAGAACTCAAACCAAACCAAATAATACTAGTACTCAATTTTGGTGTGACACACTACCAGACCAGTAAAGAAATGAATCAATGGGCGATTAATTCTGTCCCTACCCACTTGTCTTTGTATACGGGATGGGTTAGCATGCTAACCCCTTAAGGGTTGGAAAAATGACACCCCCTTATTAATTGGTCAGTTTTTCATTAATTATTGACTAGTATTAATGAAAGTAACCATAATAAATGTTCTGTTATTAAATACAAAGTAAGCATTAAATACACCACATTAATTACTCGTTTTTTAAAAAAAATCTAAACATATACAAAAATACAATTCTCTCTCTCATCTTTGATCTTTCTCTCTCCTATCTCTATTCTTCATTTCCGAGCAACCTCCGACCACCAAGTTTCCTCCGACCACCACATTTCGCCGGTAAAATCCGCCGATTGACTCTCTCCGGTCACCTGCGAAAATATACCACTGCACTGATATGTTGTACCTGTTGGTGCGAATCGAGCGCGAGATTCTCCCGTTCCTCCTGCAAAACCTAAATCGATCTTTTGGGAATTTTTGCTTTAGGGTTTTTGTTTTTGGTCAGATCAGTCGAATAGGGTGAAATGAAATAAAGAGGTAAATGTTTGATCGAAACAGTTACAGGCAAATAAAGTAGAGTGAACTATGGGCCCAGCTTACTTCTGGCCCAATATCAATTGTAGAATATACCGAGACTTCTCTAGCTAGTTAAAATGCGGTCCAATACTTCAGACGCTCCAGCTGCTTTGCGTTTTGTGCTGAAACGATGCGTTCTGTACTCAGAGGTCTAAGTTTCTTCTTCCTTCTTGTAATCGAGTTCTTAGCCGAGCTCTGCAAAAACTAACAGCAAAGCAGAGCAGCAAAATAACAGTAAACGAAATTGAAATGGAGAAGAGACGACAACAGAATTTTTACGTGGTTTCCGGTTTGCAATATGCAATACCGACTAGTCCACGGCCAAAGAAGTTCAGTGTGAACTCTTTGGCGATCACTAAGATGATTTACGTCACGATTACACAATACAACACCCAATCTCAATGACTCCCTGTCACCGATTAGAATCCCTATCAGAGTTCTACTCCCTGCAGAACTATGATCTTGATAACCCAAACTCTCAAGCTATCTCCCTGACAACTTCTCCTTTTCTTTTCAATAGTTTGTACTCTCTGTAATCTCTATTGAATTTGCTTTCAAGCGTGAAAAGGTTGAATCACTCTTTCTGCTCTCCTACCCCTTATAGTCTGTGCTACAGAGCCGTTGAGCAATCAGAGTGCTTGATTTCAGCTCAGATCTTCACATCCAGAGTTCCCCTTTTTTATTCTTGCCGTTTTCTTCTTGTTACCATATTTGCTCATCGCCATTGACCAAGCTTCTTTCAACAAACTCCCCCTAAGCTTGTCATTTGCTCATCCTGTAATCTACACACATGTAACACACAGTTGGTGCAGCCTGTTCTACTAAAGAGATTAAGAACAACATTATAGACTGAGGAGAGAATTGTTTATTCATTAATTTAGCAGAATT